TTGAACACAAAACGTCGAATACTGATATTTGAAATAATTTAAAACATGAAAAGAATAGTCGAAATGTGAAATTAAAACCGCCAGTAGGTGACAGCAAGTGACTGTTACTCAGTGAGTCATTGAGATTCAACCGATTCATTCAAACACAGTATTTGACTGCGTTGAGTGAATCACTGAATCATTTAACCAACCGATTCATTCAAACACAGCATTTGACTGCGTTAATGAGTGAATCACTGAATCATTTAACCAACCGATTCGTTAAAAAAGCTGAACCAGTTGAGCTTCTTTTGATCGGGCTGTCGACAAAATTTGGGTAGATTTTTTTTTGTTCGGTCATGTTATTTTAATACATTTGAAGGCGTGTAATTTAAAAAAAGGAGGAAAATTAGACTTAAATTAAACGTGTCTACCTTAATTCTACTGAAGCAGATGGCCTCTGTTGAATCCTCAGTCCAAGAGAAACGCATCTGCAACATTTAGTCATTTTACTAAAAATACGTTAGTTATGGGAATTATGTTGTAATATTTCAGCAAGAGTTTAAAATTTACAATAAACTCAACAGTTTGGTTAAAATTAAGTAATACTAAAACTTGAGTTTTAATAGTGAGGAATACTATTCTGTTTCCAGTAAACACATATAAACACCCTAAAACATGTTTACTTTGGAAGTACAAATATACAGAGAAATTCTATTCAACGGGAATGAATGAGTTCTTAAGCGATTTAGCTCTAATACCAGTTTCTGTACATTCATCACATGCATTGTTATACTAATGTTTGTGCTGCTTCTTTCTCACCATAAATGGTCTTATATTAATGACTTTTAAAAAATGTTTTTGTTTTGAATTTAATATCCTCTCCAGTATGTACCAAGCCAAATAAGAGAAAATACAGCCTTACTGCATAACAGAAATGACCCTAAACGTCTTTCACCATTCATCCATTACTTCAGCATTGCTTCTTTAGTTCTGTCTGTTCTAGATCACTAGTGTCAAATAGTAATCTAATCGTTTAATTAAAACATAAAATCACAGTAACAATCGTGTATTTGCTCTGATGTCATGCTTCGGTTCTACTTATATATAAAATCGTAGGTAAACTGCTTAAGTTTATACTAAAAAATACAAGTTTCCACCATAACAACACATTCTAGAGACACATATTTGTGTTTGGACGAGGCTCGCGCGTCTCAGCAGACTATATCTGAGCGATATTATTCATATTCGTTCTTCTGATGTCCTGTTATCCTGAAATATAAGCTGATTTTACAGCTGGAGCGTGACACATTTACACACAATCAGTCCTAATATGAGTAGTGCCACAAGAACTGTATTTAGAAGAGTTATTCCAAACAAAGGAAGGAAGGAAACTAACATTACAATCTACAAAAAAAGCTATATAGATATGCAGCGGTCGTATAAACGCAGAGGCATGTTTGTGTCACAGATCAGACGAACACAAAAGAAACGAAAAACGGAAACCTCCGGCTCTTCTGGGAGGAGAAAATCTGCAGTCATCCAGTCTCTGTCATGCTTTCAATCAGGTCCTCGCTGGATAAATGGTGAGATCTGAGCATCAGAGACGCCGGCGGGATATTGATGTTACTGTGGGTCATCATCATCATCATCATCATCATCACTACACAAGCACACGACTGAAGAGACTGCCGTATGGACACAAACACAGCAAGTATTCAGAGAGGAATTGTGAAGCCAGCTAACAGATCCGAGGGAACTTCATTCCACTGGTTTGATCCCGTCTGACTTCTGGTCCAGCCGGCTTTTACTGCTCTTCACCATATAAATAAAGTACGTGAGCGTCTCCTTCTCATTGACTGGAATATTGCGGAAGTGACGGCTCACGGTCTGCAGAAGAAGAAAGAGACAGACACCGAACTCATTAGAAAACAGCTCAATGCTGTGTTCTGATTGGCTGACAGACATCACGAGAATCTTCAGAAATAAGCATTAGTGTGTAGAGAAGCTCATTCTCGGAGCAGACGGACCCAACGTTTGTCGTCAATATCAACTAGGGCTGTCCAAATGGCTGAAAAACTACATTTGGATTTTGTACTTCAATATTATCAATATTCAAATTATATTTGAATTTAAAAGACATGATTTCAGCTGGGGGGGGAGCTTTTGGCTTTAAATAATCAAAATAATCATTTTTGCGAGCCCCTTCTTGAATCAGGCGTGTATTTTTTACTGTACAAATAAATGCAGCCTTGTTGAGCAGAAGATAATTATTTTACAACTTTAGAATATATTTCAGATCCCACAGATACAAATCTATTACAGATTTGAACACTATGTGTGAATGTTATAATAAAAGTATTAATATAGCTGCTGTAGTTAATAATCATCATTATTATTGTCTTACTTTATTTTATTTTACAGAACAACCGTAAAATTACAATCCTAAAATTTATGAATGTTGATGGAGCTTTTATTTTGGCGGAAACCTCCAGGAAGACCTCAGTGCTTCTTTTAGTTGACAGAAGATGCAGTGCTGAACGGTCTCTGCCTGTCGGTGCTTGTAATGATTTTTGCGTCTTTCTCCGACAGTTTTAAATACTTTCATACTGCCGACATGTTTGCTGCATTAGTGCGTGTCTCTATTTAATCCCGTCACGTCATTGTTCGGTACAATTTATTCGCTCTTTCTCTCATTCGGTGCATCCCTAACGTATATCATTAATTAAGTTGCTTAAACAATTAGAAACAAAACAGCATCATGCATGCATGTACAGTTTAATACAAAGGACTGAAAACCAATCACAAAGAGTACTTTTTTCAAAGTCTCAAGATAGCTTTTTTAAAAGTTGAACTTAATTTTCCATGGCTTTCTAAACATGCAGCTCTCTTGTGCGAGACGCGAGTGCAACGGTGTTAGATGTCCCTCTAGAAAATGCGATAAATAAATAAATAAACTGCTTGGTTTCCATCTTGATGTAAACATCTTCTCCACATTGATGCTCTCTTTTTCCGCAATATTTTGAATGAACAGCGTAGCAGCGCTGCATCTAGTGGGTTCAGCTGGATAGGCTAAAAAAAAGCATTAAAATGCAATGATACCTACATCGTCATCGCATCTCGTGCGCCACTGATAAAGCTGCCTGACACACACCTAAAATTCAAATTCAACGTTTTTGCATTCGAATGTGGATTTTTATATTAAATTCCACGAATATTCGAATTATGTAACAAAATTTACATTTTTGCGTTGTATGTAAGATCAAGCTCTTCAGAGAGACTCGTGAGAACAGGCTTTGATAGCAATATAAAAATCTATAATAAAATATAGTAATGAGTAAGTGTCGTATTAATGTAAAACCATGTTTAAAGGAAGGTGATGAGATTAGCGAGCGGTGGCGAGGGTTTCTCAGTGCTACCTCTGCGAGCTGGGCTTTGTTGAGGCCCGGTCTGGTCTGGATCTTGTAGTGCCTCTTGTACCGTCTCAGTGTGTTGACCTGAAGCTGGAACAGATCCACCTAAAGCAGGACAAACACACAGATCCCGCTCAGATTCTGGTCCCCAGCAAGTGTTTGGTTTCCCACATTCTGTGTCCAACAGACTAAAGAAACTCATAGATGATTGGAACAACATGTGGGTGAGTAAATGACAGTTTTCATTTTTGGAGGAACCGTCCCTTTAAGAAATTTTTAGAGGAACCGTCCCTTTAAGAAGGTTTTTAGAGGAACCGTCCCTTTAAGAAGGTTTTCGGTGACTCCAGCTCCAGGTGTGGAGCAACATTCACCGCCTGGACACACACAGCTCAGTTTAACCTAAATCAAGTCCGATGCCTCGGCATTCTGCAGCAGAGATTTCTCTAGCCGGTTTTAGGTATATGAACTGACTAGTATGTCCAGTCTTAACTAGTGTCACACATTCCTACACGAAACCTGTGATCAAAACCACAGAGGAACGGCTCCGAACTTTTCTGTGAAGACAAAGTCTGAAACACTGTGTGGAAAAAGTTTACAAGTTCATGCCGTTTCTTGCCGCTGTTCTTATGCGGATATAAAGGCGATCTGAGCTGTGCTGTAATTATATTACACTAAACACCTGCTGGAACATCACTTCTGTGTCTCATCACGATCACACATCTTCTCACAGATCTGCACGCATGCATGTGGAACACAACACCATAAACCTGCTATGTCTGGCTCAGTCTTTACCGTAGTAAGCAGCTGGAGCAAACCCAGTCACAGCAGCACCAGGACAAATATAAAAGGACAAAGAGCATGAACATACAGATGAATCCTGGTTTACCTCTGGCACTTCAGCATCGTGATCGGGTGATTCTCCTCCGTCGTCGCTGGTCTTCCTCTTGCGCTTGTTGCGAACGCTCTGGATGAAGTTCTTGTGGAAATCACAGATGTACAAATGCCGAACCTACAGGGAAAAATGGTGCGTGTTAGAAAACTGAATTCTAGATTACAGAACGTAGAACTGATAACTATATCAAGAAAACACTATCTGATGTCTTCAGTGCGATTTATATGCCATAAAATGACATTTAGCAAACTAAAGGCAAGCACATTCTGGCCAATGCAGCAGTGAAGCGTATACTAGTGTGTGTGTGTGTGTGTGTGTGTGTGAGAGAGAGAGTGACTGTGTGT